GAAAGAATGCAGAATTCTGAAATATATCTTATACACAGATATTTTCTCTAACGTATCACTCAAATTTCTCCTTTACCTTCTATAGAACATTTATTCTATCTCACCTCAAATTTACTCTTCCTTTCTTGTCCAGCCTCATACCAATAGTGCATAGTTCCTGTTGCCCAGAAATGAGGTTGAATCTAACATGCAGACACATACTCTTCATTTATGAAGGGAAGACTTGGTTTCCAAGTGGCTGCTTCAGTCCACCTGCTCCTGTCTTCCCAAGAGGACACTCTGGCTTCCTGGAGACAACTCGTGAGCACAAATTGTACCACTTGGCAGAAGGCAAAATAGTTGCAACCCAAACTCTGCCCTTATATTCTTAAGTTTTATTGCCCTTATACTAGCCCAATGCACCACTCAGAGGATAACCAGGGAGCTTTACTAATTTTCCTTATATCTGTAGCTGAGAAGAAAAACAGGATACACCGGTACATTATTGTTTTACAGGATAGCATTTTGATTATCCTGGTCAAAACTGTGCTTTAGATCTCTCTACGAACAGAATAGTTAAACTAGTGAAGCCCAAATTAAGGTGGATACAAAGAAATCCTTGAAATGCATAGTAAATCTATTATACCGCATTTCTGACCGTTCTCTGGTGCACTAGATTGCCGTACCTAGTTCACAAACCACTTGGGAAAGCAATACTAAGGACGTATTGCTACTCGATAAGTATAAAATTTTCACCATCATTGCCACAGAATAGGTTCAGTAGGTAGCTTTTATTAGTAGGTAGCATTTACATTTTTTTCCCTGCCACTTGTATTGTTGATAAATCAAAGAGCAGAATTGCCTCAGTGATATTGGAAAGGATGCTTGGGAAAGATCTTGTTTATCATTCAGTATATCTTTGTATTACCATAAGTAACTTTGAACAAAAGCAGCAAATACACCACCCGTGATCGGGAAGTAGTGAAAAACTCTGGAGCCAGCTTATCTTTCTGTGGGTATTAACTTTTGCAGAACAGATACAATGTTGCAAATCTCAGCCTACTCTGAGTATGACAAGTGAATTATTAAAAACCATCTGTGCAAAACAAGTCAAGATGAGATATATAGGAAATAAGAACAAAAGCAAAGAAAACCTTGGGAATATGTGTGTGTATGGATGATTACATATGTGACTTGAGAAATACAAATATTTTAAGCATACTTACTAAATATTTCTATTCAGAACGTTTGTATATCCCAGGGTAATTTATTAGAAAAATGTATGGTAATACAGTATAACTAAGAAGTGATGACCAATGTTGAATACATCTATCAATAACTTCAAACTTCATGGCTGTCGACCAACTCAAGTAACTAGACTTTTACATACAATTAATCTAAAGAAGATAGATTCCATGCTTTGCAATACAAACCTAATTCATAGCTAAAGGCAGGAACTGAATCAGTTTCTTATGTTGCATTAATGCATGTAACATACCACCAAAAAGATTGCATTAATGAATTAATGCATTTTTTTTTTCCTGTCTGTGAAAGCATAACAAGAAGATACTGCTTTCTTCCCATTCATATACTGGAACGTCAGTAATATATTCATCTAAACTGAAAGTATGAAATGAGTATGAACAGCTTAAGGTATCAAGGCTGAAGGAAGGGCAGAAGAGAAAAGAAGAAAAGAAAAAAGAAAAGAAAAGAAAAGATGGCTCTTCCTTTATTTCCCTTCCTTGGCTGGTTAGTCAAGTCTCCTTTAGTATTTCCCCTACCCGTTAAGTACTCTTAATAGGGATACCCCAGCTCTTGATCATAGAAAATTGAATATGTGAATAATGGAATTTCTGGTCATGCTTCTGAAAACAAACCCATACAATGAGTTATATGTGAGTATACAATATTAAGCAGCAAAAATAATTTTAAAATGACACAGCAGCCCCCCCCATAAAGTGCATCACAGAAGCAGATATCCAGTTCCCATATTTTTATTCTGTACTATTTCTGAGTTCTTAATTATGCTTTGTTTAAAATCGTTAAAGACCTTTTAGCTAAAAATTATCCTAGTTCAATGGGTGCTTACAGAAAAAAGAGAAAAGCTATATGGCAAGCCCTATCTGTTGATAAAGCCTTTGGCAAATTCACCAAAGATTCATGATCAAATAGAAGTTATTGTATGGATTATTAGTTAAAGAAAAAAACCATAGGTTTAGAGATAATTGAACCGGGATGAAAACAATAGAAGTATGGATAAGCAGTGAAATAGCCAAGTTTGCTAATGATTATTTATAGTGGTAGGAATGAAATGATAAAGAGTTTCAGAAGAATTTTTGAAAATTGGGAGAATGGGCTTTATAATGGCAAATGTGCTTCTGTTTAAACAAACATAAAAGATTGTATTGAGAAAATTTATACTTTTTTTGTATGTGGTGATGTATCCAAAATGATGGAAAATGATTTGGAAAAGGAATTTTGGCCCAATGGGATAAAACCTTGACATGTAACTCCCTGCAAAAAAGGCAATAATATTTTGGGAATAATTAGGAAAGTAATTGAAACTAAATGTGAATTTCATAATGCCTTGGTACAAATTAATGATGAAACCACACTTGGAATGCTGTCTACAGAGTAATCATCTTATAAAAAAAGATACTAAAGAGTGAAAAATGGACAGTCAGAAAATGAAGAGACTATAGGAACTTCCATATAAGAAACTATTGTATTTGAAACCTTTGACTTAGGGCAAAAAACAATTGAGCAGAGCTTTATAAAACTTGCCATGGTATTAAAAAACATAAGAAAGCATTCTTCCAAAACACATGCTATTTTTTTCTTGCTTTTTGAGTGACTATTTACAGAAAACACTGTAAGCGCAATTGCCCCTGGCAGTATAAGAAAAGGTTTGAAATAATTGTATATCAGCAAGTTCATTATTCAGTGGGAAAGCAACCATTCTTTAGTAGAGGATACGCTCTGCAAGTAAGGCCCAGGTTTAATTCCTGGCATGAACAGGGAGGGCTGGGGGAAAATATTCTGAAAACTGAAACAGCCACTGCAATTAGAGCACAGGCATCAATAAACTGTGACAGACTACCATCTCACTTGGCCCTCATGAGGCAGGGATAAGAAACCATTTTAGACCAGTGAACAACTTTGGAACCTTAACAGCTTATTGTGGGCATTCTCACAACATTGCTGCTATGGAAGTGAGGTGCTGTCTCTGGGCAACAGATGCCTTCACAAAATACCCATTTACCAGAAGACAAACTGATGAGGTTGCTCTTTGCCACTCCATTTAATTTCCCAATATGCTATCTATTACAGGTAGTGCCCAGGGTAAGAACGCCCTGGTTACAGACGACCCATAGTTAAGAACGGAGCATAAGTTAAGTACATAATGATTCGAGTTAAATACACAATGGTTTGAGTTCATTACACAATACCACTTATACAGCATTATACAATAATTCTGTTCTGGCTTACATACAAATTCGATTTGACAGACCTTGGGAATGGAACTCTTTCTTAAACTGGGGGCTACCTGTACTCCAAAATTATCTGTATTTCTTTGTGTAAAAGCATACATACTTCCAAATAAAAGATTCTGCTATAGCCACAGTCATATTTTTTTAAAATATAAAAATGCCTATGTAGGACTCAGATACTTCATTTGAAATACCAATGGTAAATGGCAGTGTTTTCCTTTTAAAAAAAATTAAAACATGGAAGAAAACAAGTCAAATAGGAACTGGAGCACTGTTGTATCTTTTTAGGAATATAGTACTGTAACTGGTGCACTTCCTATTCAGCAGAGCTCATGCAGAACATCCATGGGGTTTATACTAGACTGAACCTATACATGTATCTATGTCACACTCCCAGATCAGTATTTATTGGATAATTTCTGCTTCTAATCGCAATCTACTAGTTAAACTGAATGTAGGCATTTTGGTTTAGGTTTTTGAAAAAAGATATACTCCTCTGGAGAAATCAAATCAGTCAGCCCTTTGTTTCTGGAGGGCAATACAGCCGAACCTGCCAGATTCTTTGCAGAATAGTATGAATAAGAGAACAGTGTAGAACTGTAACGTTATTACACATTTACAAAACAGGTAAAGGTTTTCATTCACTATGAGCCAGGAAAAAGCTCGAAATGTTTCACTATGTTTGTTCATTTATGTTCGCAACGTAAATTCCTATTGCCTTGATTGATCTCTTCCCCAATATAAGGGCATAGGGTTGCTGTCTTAATTAACTCTGCACATCTCATTTAAATACAAAGTTTTTGAAACCATGCGTTCCTCTCGACCTGTCAGCCTCATGACGTACGATCCGCAACGGCCAATCAGCGTGGGAAGGAGGGGAAGGCGGGCGTTGGCCGGTTGAAAAGGAGCGGTGGAGGTGCTTCATGCGCCTTGGCAGGAATTGGAGTGCGTGAGCACGTTGCATACGCAGGAACGTTACGTGCCTGAAGGCAGACTAAGGCCTGGCAGGCCTGTCCAGTTAATCCACCAGAAAACAGGGCAGCGAATTAGCGTCCCCTCAGGGCGGTTGTGAGGAAGTGGGGGAGGCACGCTCTTTTGTGTTTCATTTCCCTCCCCCCCCCCCCTCACAACAAAAACCGCCTTGGGGGG